CACTCCAGAAAGCAGCTGGCAGGCGCCAAGACCCAGCTTTCAGACACCAGCGCCCGGTGGCACGGTCTGAATCCCGGAACCGTCACCTGGGCCTCCCAGGGCCAGTCCCCGGACCACGGAGCCTTACCGCACTCTGAAGGGAGAGACCCAGGTCAGGGCGCCGAGGAGCCCGCTCTCCCCGCCTGGCCCTGTGCGCTCACCTGGCAGGGCGACGGTGCAGTTCACCTCCCTGGGCTCCTGGAGGCCTGACTGGGGCCCCTGGGGCTGGAAGGGAAAGCCAGGCCCAGGCTCTGAGCCCGTCACCTGATCCCGTATCCAAGCCTCATACTGAGCCACAGCAGTGAAGATCCCAGGGCGGTTTCTCCGGCCACAGCCAAAGCCAAAGCTAGTGGTTCCTGCTTGGAACCAGCGGCCGCCTTCCTCACAGACCAGAGGTCCTCCGGAGTCACCCTAATGATAGATTAGGTGTCAGGGCTCAGCCCAAGGACCCACCAGTACTGACCTCATGGCACAGGCCCTATCGATCTATCTAGGTATTGGCGATCGAACTCAGGACTTTGGGCTTGCCAGGCAGGCACAGCGCCGCTACATCCCCCATCTCATTTATTTTTGAGACAGGGTCTGGCTATCTATGAAGCTGGCTTTGAACTCACTATGTAGCCCAAACTGGCCTCAAAGTCAGAGTGATCCTCCTGTCTCAGCCTCTTAGAGTGCTGGGATCAGAGATGTGCGCCATCATATGTAACCCTGAACATCTTTTGGCCAACATACAACCACCTTTACTTAGAAAGCTTCCTTGGTTGTGTTGCATCCTCTGTCTCCACAGCTCTAAACAGGAGAGAGCTTTGTAAAGCAGAAAAGCTGAATAGCCAAAGCTAAGAGCCAGCTATGGATTAGAGACCATGGAAGACAAGTTTACAGGTCTCATTCAGAACCAAATGAATCTTACCCAACAAAGAGTGCAAATAAGCCCTAGCCAGGCATGGTGGCACACATCTACAGTCCCCGCCCTCCTGGGACTGAGCCAGGAAGATTGGAGCAAGTTCAATGCCAGCCTCAGCTACAGAGCAAGACCTTGCCTCAAAACAAACAAACAAACAAACAAAAAACCGTAATAAATATACCTTATCTTTGATTTCTAAGCTCACTTGTTGCTGCTGCTGAGCTTGAACCCAGGTCCTCACAAATGAGAAACATTTGCTCTGCCCTTGAGCTTCACCTCCACCCCCATTCAGTCGCTTAAAAAGTACATGAGATACATGAGCGTGGAGGGGAGAGGCTGTCAGAAAGAGGCAGCGTAGCAGTCGGAAGGGGCAGTTTGGAAGCAACTAACAAGAAGAGCTACAAGGAGCACATGGAAACAATGCTGCTGGGATGGCTGGGCACTGGGGCACTGACCCTACGGCCTGTGTGAGCCAGGTCAGACCTCTGTGTGACCTGAGGACTGTCCCGTGGAGGTTGGAATCACCTAGAGCAGCACTGTCGAGTACAGTAGCCACTAGTAACATGAGACTTTAAATTTAAATAAAATTAAAACTTTAGTTCCTTAGTCACACTAAACAAATTTCCTTTTTTTTTTTTTTTTGGTTCTTTTTTTACACTGCACACAATTTCAAGTATTCAGTATTCATGTGTGGCTAGCAGCTACCATACTTGGCAGTACAGATACAAAACATTTCCATCAGTATTAGTTATTAGGGTCCAACCATGACAGGCATGGACGGATGAGGGGCCAGATTACAGGCCCCTAGGCCCAGGGTCAGCACTAACTTGCATGCAGAATGGAGTAGTAGCCTTCTTGGCTGTGTGGAAAGCCCTAAACATAGCACTTCTGAGACAAGAAGGGTCCTACCGAGGGGCGAGGGTGATAAAAACTTCAGGCGCCCAAGTGGGGAAGGACCTTGACTCCTCCCTCTGAGATGCTAACCTAGGTCCCTATCTGGCTATCCTCAGTTTACTGAAGTCCCTGGTTCCGGGGATAGTGCTCTACCCTCCCCTGCGCACCTTGCTGACTAAATAAAAGGGGGTCCACTGCGGAGAAGGTGGGAGCCTGTCCACCAGAGACTGATTCCTCCAGCTCCCCCAGTGCGCACTGAATGCCGTGTCTGTGTCTCTTTCTTTTATTTCCTGTCCTTCTCCCAACAGGTATTTGGGGGTCTAAAGGGCTTCTGATAGGGGCCAGGGATTTACCTCAGTGGTTCTGCTGCTTGCCTTGAAAACAAAGCAAAACAAAACAAACAAAGAAAACACCTCCTGATATATCAGTGCAGTAAGTGCTATTCTTTCTTTCTTTCTTTTTTGAGACAGGGTTGAGTTCACTCTGTAGCCCAGGCTGGCTTGAACTTGTGGTGATCCTCTTGCCTCAGCCTCCCAAGTGCTAGGATTATAGGCATGTGCCTGGCATTTAAAAAAATACATTATTTTTGTTTTAATACAGGGGATAGAACCTACAGCTTTTGCACTGAGCTCCATCCATAGCCACTTAAAACAAATTATTTTGGGGCTAGGGATTTAGCTCAGTGGTTCTGCCACCTGCTTTGTAAGTGCAAGGTCCTGAGTTCTATCCCTGGTACCAAAAACAAACAAACAAACAAACAAACAAAAAAACATTATTTTGAGACAGGGTATCGATAAATTCCTCGGGCTAGACTCAAACTTGAGATCCTCCTGCTTCAGCCTCCCAGACAGTTGTGTCACCATGCCTGGATACTTGTTTTTATTTCATTCTATGTTTTTATTATTGTTATTATTATTGCTGGGACACTTGGGGTTGTGCCGAGTGCTGTATGCATGATAGCATGTGCTGTACCACTAAGGTACACCCTCAGCCCCAATTCCATTTGCAACCTTGCCCTCTTTTTGCAGATGAGGCTCCAAGAGATATCTATTTGTTCATTAGCTGCTCCTTTGCAGATCTGTCCTTGCCAGATGCTCATGGATAAGGGGCTCTGCTCACCTGGCAGATGTCCCTGCGCCCCTCTGGGTAGCCAGCACACAGCATCCCTGGCAGCAGCTGGAAAGTGAGGTTGAAGGGGCCGGGCCGTCTGTAGAGACACTGACAGGCACCTTCTCCCAGCAACCAGAGCTCCACTTCCTGCAGCACCCAGGGGAGAGGCAGAGGGTCTGGTGGCAGAACCAGAGAGCAGATACCGTGAGGCAGGCAGGGGCACCCAATCCCCAGACTTGGGTTTGTCTGCTCCAGCTGCATCCTGGACATGACCATCAGGATGCCCCATTGTGGAACTAGGAGGGAGAGGAAAGAGAGGTACAAGGGTGTTATAGACGGCCAAGGGGTCAGAAATGTCCTAGGCAGTGAGACAGGGCTGGGCCCTTGAGGGAGTCGGTGCAAAAGATGAGAACATATCACTCCATCACGCGGTAGCTGGAAGCTCATCTGAAGAGGCCAGGCCTCAAGATAAGATGGGATGCCTGGGCCTGCTGCCTTCCCCAGGGACAGGAAATAACTCGAGTTGTGCTATAATTGGTATTACCTGGTCCAAGAAAGTCCAGTGGGTGACCACAGTCTTGAGACCCTTCTCTTCCTACAAATGCCTTTGTTCTTCTATGCACCCTTGCTACGTAGCCTGCTTCCTACTGGACCAATATTAGCTAAGCAGCTATACATTAATCTTATTGGCTGATCATAGTTGACCTGTGTTGTAACCACCTGGTGATTTTGCTCTATGAAACGTTCTCAGAGAAGTGGCCTCTGTGGCGACCCATGTTCAGGTCCCCTCCGGCCTTGTAGAAGCTATATCTCTCAATAAAATTTTCCTACTCTTCACCTGTTTTTCCTTACAATTCATTATTCTTTTTTTTCTTTTTGTACCAGGGAATGAACTCACGACCTTGTGCTTGTGAGGTGGGCATGGTGCCACTTAGCTACATCCCCAGTCCTATGATTCATTCTTCGATTGCCGGGGGGCCATGAACTTGGCATATCTGATATCTAGCAGGTTGGGGGTTACATTTTCCCTGTATCGCTGGGAGAGGGGATGATTGAAGTACGTTATGAGCATATACAGATCTGCCAAAATGAAGCCCATTAATCTCTATGGCCCATATGCTGTAATAAAAGATAGTGGGAATGCATGGGGAAGGTGTTTCTCTGCAGTTAGAGCCAAACTTACTGGTGGAAGTTTTCCCCCATTCCCTCAATGTGTCCGGGCTTCTGGACACTTCCTCTCAAGCATCTCCGGAATTTTCTTTGTTCTCAGTTTTATTACTTCTAACTTGCTGCCAAATGTAAGTGCGACTGGCTCTGTGCACTGAGCTTTCTGTCAGTGTAAGAGGGTGTTATGGACCTGATAAGCGGTCCTTTGCTGGGCCCAGGTGACTTATGTGCTCTATGTAACCAATACAAAGTGCTTAACTCCTGCAAGCCACCCCTCCTGAGTATACTGTGCCCTGCTGCATCCCAAAGGGGGCCGGTCTCTTTGGGGAGAAGTCCCAGAATGACCCGCTGGCATTAAGAATAAAACTGTATGGGCCAGGGATTTAGCTCAGTGGTTCCACTGCCCTGGTACCAAAAGGAAAAAAGAATAAAACTGTATACTTTGCCTCCAAAACCTGTGGATGCATCTTCCGTTCTCCTGGACGACCTGTCTGTATGTCCTGGCTGCCAGTTTGACGCTGTAGGAAAAGATGCCCTGGGTGCATCGGCCCACACATTCTCCAGATCAGATCCCTCTGACTCCCACCTGTCACCTTCCCACTTCCCCATCTCAGGCCTCAGTAAGTACACAGCAAGAGTGACATGCATGGTTGTGCACTGCACAAATCTCCCAGCTGACAAAGGATACGTTGTGAAAAGGGTGCCCTCTCTGGGTCAGCACAGCTCCATGAAATCATTGTGCTGTGAGCCCTGGCATGAAGTTGTGCCGACCCAGGGAGGGCACCCTTTTAATGAAGTTGTGCCGACCCAGGGAGGGCACCCTTTTCACAGCAGTGCCATATGGACTTCCTGTGGTCTTCTACTGAGTTGCCAAGCATCCATGACCTTTGGTTTATTTTATTTATTTATTTATTTTTCACTACTGAGAATCAAACTCAGGATCTTGTGCTTGCTAGGCAGGGACAGCGCCGCTGAGCTTCGTCCCAGGTTTGGTTTTTTGAGGCAGAGCTTTGTTTTGTAGTTCAGGCTGGATTTGAACTCATAGCGATCCTCCTGCCTCAGCCCCTCAGCCCGTGCTGGGATTACAGGCTAGCGCCACCATGCTGAATGGCCCCTTTCTTAACTCACCTTCCCCAGCCAGCTCCCAAGCAGTGCTGACTTAGCAGTCTTGCCATGGCTGCCCCAGCTCAGGCACAGTAATCTCATGGCTGCTGCCCGGGAAATGTTTCTACAGCTCAATTCTGATCTCATCAAGAATAATAAATGGGGGCCAGGGATTTAGCTCAGTGGTTCCACTGCCTGCCTCGAAAGCACAAGGTCTTGAGTTCAATCTCCAGTACCCCCCCCCCAAAAGAGTAAGTGGATCCACGGTCTAAAACGGACCCTTGGTACCATTCTGCTTTTGATGGAAACCAAGTTTCAGGATCCAGAAAGGGTAGGGAGAACACTGGCTCTTCTCTACTACCCCAGATCCTGAGGGGGCGGGCGGCAGCTGAGCCTGTCCTGGGGCTCACCCGGGAAAGACTGTCTTGGGGACCCTGGGACTCTGTTCCTCCATCTGACCTTAAGGCCTTCATGATCCGGCCTCAGTGGCCTTGCAGCCTCCCTTGCCCTTGCCTCCTTTGCTCAGCCTGGCATTTTGGCCCATCTCTGGGTCTCCAGGATGGCCTCTGCCTTTTGTCCGGTTTGCTGCAGTACAAAACTGCCTCAAAAATCTCTTGCTCTGCTCTCCCCCGGCAGGATGGCCTGGCCCTGTCCACGAAGACTCCCAGGTGCCCATGAAGTCTCTTCCTTGTCCCCACATCCCAAACACTGGCAGGGGCTGACTGCAGGAAAGTGGAATGTGTGTGTGGCGGGGAAAGGCAGCGTGGGGTGCTGGGGATGGAAAAGTGTGTCTTTCTGCACACATCTTCAGTTTGCCTGTTTATTCACTCGGTTTACTGCTTGTCTACACACTAGCATGTGAGCACTGAGAACTCAGGGTTTCTGCTTTTTATGTTTGCTGGTGTATCTCTGAGGCCTAACACAGTGACTGACACGTAGAAATACATTAAAAGAATGACAGGATGGAGACTAGGGAAAGTTGGAGAAGACAGGAGATGGGGAACAGGGAGATAAGAAGAGCTGAACAGGATGGGAGAAGAGGCGTGGGGGCAAAGGAGGCCAGAAAATTTGCTGAATGCCTCAGGTGCTGGGTCTTTGTGCTTTAACATGGATCACTCAAGGTCGAAATACGCCATGTTGAGTATGGCGATGCTAGGCACTGTGCTACAAGGTGTAGGTGGACTTTTCTCATTTACCCTACTCACAGGGTCTCATCATGTAATTCATTCTGGCCTCGAACTCACCATGTAGCTCAAGCTAGCCTCGAACTCGCAGTGATCCTCCTGCCTCAGCCTCCCGATTGCTGGGACTAGAGGAGTGCACCCCCACGACCGGCTGACCCCATTCGACAGTGGATGGAATGTACTGGGTGAAAGGATTCGTCTGAAATGGAGCTGGGACAGGAACTCTAGTCGGATCTAAACCCAGAAAAGAATGAAGAGAGGGGAAAGGTGAGGCGGAAAAGGGTTGTGTGGGGTGATTGAGTCGTGTCAGAGAACTCCTGGCAAGGAGGACAAAGTAAGATTAAGATAAGTGTGGAATTTTCCAGGGCTCTAGCAGAGCTCCACCCTTCCAGGCTCCGAACCGCCCCCGGCGCCCAACCTGTGCCGCGGACCGAGCCCCGCC